TTGGCACGGACGTCCTTGAGGACAGGCAGGAGGAGTTCCAGTGTTTGGCTGCTGCTTCACCTCATCTCGTGTCCGTACTGCTTACCCCTGAGGGAGACCCGGATGCACTTGACATCCCGACTCCGCGCTCTTACGCGGAGGCGATAGAGGGTCCCTACTCCTCTCAGTGGCAGGCAGCTATGGACGCAGAGATGGCTTCCTGGAAGTCCACAGGCACCTACGTTGACGAGGTTCCCCCGCCTGGGGCGAACATCGTCAGTGGCATGTGGATTTTCAGGGTGAAGCGACCGCCGGGTTCTCCGCCTGTCTTCAAGGCGCGTTACGTGGCTCGTGGCTTCAGTCAGCGGCAGGGAGTTGACTACTTTCAGACCTTCTCTCCCACCCCGAAGATGACCACTCTTCGGGTACTGCTGCACATAGCTGCTCACCGCGACTACGAGCTGCACTCTCTTGACTTCAGCACTGCTTTCTTGCAGGGCAGCCTGCACGAGGAGATCTGGCTGCGTCGCCCACCTGGCTTCACTGGGTCTTTTCCTCCTGGCACCCAGTGGAGCCTCCGGCGACCAGTCTACGGTCTCCGCCAGGCACCGCGTGAGTGGCACGACACACTGAGGACTACATTTGCGGCTCTTGGGTTTGCTCCCTCTACTGCCGACCCGTCGCTGTTTCTGCGCACCGACACTTCTTTGCCGCCGTTCTACATCCTCGTGTACGTCGACGACTTGGTCTTTGCCACAGCTGACACTGCTGGACTCGCCCACGTGAAGTCCGAGCTGCAGAAGAGACACACGTGCACAGACCTGGGTGAACTGCGCAGCTACCTTGGCTTGCAGATCACCCGGGACAGAGCACGCCGCACCATTACCCTGACTCAGTCACACATGGTGCAGCAGGTCCTTCAGCGCTTCGGCTTCACGTACTCCTCGCCTCAGGCCACTCCTCTGCCTACTCGCCACTCGCTCTCAGCTCTGCCTTCGGATGAGTCCGTAGAGTCGAGTGGCCCGTACCCAGAGCTTGTTGGCTGCCTCATGTACCTGATGACCTGCACACGACCTGACCTCGCATACCCTCTTAGCATTCTCGCACGCTATGTTGCTCCTGGGAGACACAGACCGGAGCACATGGCTGCAGCGAAGAGGGTGTTGCGTTACTTGTGCAGTACGTCGGGCATGGGGCTTGTGCTTGGAGGGCAGAGTCCAGTGGTCCTCACTGGGCACGCAGACGCTTCTTGGGCTGACGACCAGGCTACGCAGCGGTCGTTACAGGGTTACACCTTCAGCCTTGGTTCCGGCTCTGTTTCGTGGCGGGCTACCCGCTCGTCTTCTGTTCTCAGCTCCAGTTGTGAGGCTGAGATCTACGCCGGGGCCATGGCTGCACAGGAGCTTCGCTGGCTCACCTACCTGCTGACTGACCTCGGAGAGCCGCCTTGTTCTCCTCCAGTGCTGTACGTAGACAACAAGGCCATGCTGGCCTTGTGTCGAGAGCAGAGACTGGAGCACAGAACGAAGCACATTGCTCTCCGTTACTTCCTTGCTCGTGAGCTACAGCAGCGTGGTCAGCTGCGGCTTGCGTACGTGGCCTCTCAGGCCAACACTGCTGATATCTTCACCAAGGCACTTGCGCCTTGTGATCATCAGCGCTTCTGTACTCAGCTGGGTCTTGTGCCTACCTTGCCTCACTTGCTCACCCCTTGACCTTGTTTGTACTGTTGCATATATATATACACCTGCTCTTGCTTGTCTAGCCTTATATATATATGTAATCCTGCATGTGAACTGGCCTTGTGGCCTTGAACTTGTGCTCGGAATGTGTGGTGACTTTGTGATCCACCCTGAGCTTGCTTTGCTTTGCTTGACTGGTCTTGTGACCCCTTGTTCTCCCCCACTTTGCCTATGGGGGTGTGTCAGATTTATATGACATAGCTACTGTAGGCTATAGTGGAGTAGCACATATGGGGTACAGTTTTCTAGGGTTTGCATTTGTACCGAACTTTCCCTTATTCAGTTCATTCTCGTTCAGTTTCTCACGGACTTCACATCAGCCGAAGCAACCATGTCAGCCGTAGCGAAGACCGAGTCATCGACGTAGACAAGAACAAAGAACGGAGTGGAACCTCTGCGAACAAACAGCGACGGGTTGGCGGACGAATGACGGAACCCGAGGTCAGCAAGAGTAGTGCGTAGCATGTCGTGCCACTCACGGGGCGCCTGACGAAGACTGTAGACTGGTCGCGTCAGGCTTCATTGGGCCCCAGGCGGGAAAGTGCTAGTGAAGCAAGGAGGACGTCGCGGCCATATCTCCTCGTGCAGGCGGCCCTGGAGAAAGGCAGTGGAGAAGTCGAGGGAGTACAACTCGGAGTCTCTCTGTGCTGCAACGTGTAGTAAGACCCGAATAGTAGTCATATTCGGGGTCGGGGCGAAGGTCTGGAAGAAGTCAACCCCCTCACGCTAACTAAAGCCTCTAGCCACGTAATGCTCCTTGAAGACAGGCGGTGATCCATGTGGCCGCTTCACCTTGAAGATCCAGATGCCATCGACTACGTTCGCCCCAGGCGGGGGAACTGCGTCGACGTACGTGCATGTGGACCTCCAAGACGCCATCTCTGAGTCCATAGCTGCTATCCACTGAGAGGCCCACGGGCCTGACACTGCCTCACGGTGTGTGCGAGGAGTCAGTATGTCAAGGGCGTCGGGGTTTCCCTCAGGGGCTAGCAGCATGGCACAGAGATGGGGAGAAGCGGCTGCCAAGAACTCAAGCTCAAACCGCCTTTCCTCTACGACGTCACAGCCAAGGGCAGACTCACCCCCGGCGGACAGAGGACGGCCAGCCACCACGCGGGTGGCTTAGTCAAGGCGGCGAGAGGTGGCAAAGTCATCAACAGCGACAACCCGAGCCGAGACAGATGACAGAGAGGCACGCAGGTCCGTGACAAGAGAGGCGAGAACACGCGTGACAACAAGACGAGAAGCACGGAAGTAGTCAGTGATAGGGTGAGAGGAGACAGCAAGAGCCGACTCAGGAGGTGACAGGAGAACAGACGCAGGCGGAGAACTACGAGGCCTAGAACGAAGGAGGACAGTGCGGAGATCGGCAACAGGAGCCTAGGGACGAGCATGCAAGGGGGGACAACGGGTCCAGTAGTGCGAGACAACAGGAGGAGTGGGCTGTGAATGAGGAGGAGAGAGAACAGCCGGGGAGGAGTTCGGAGGAGGAAGACCGTGAGCAGGAGGAGGCGGTGAGTGGTCTGGAGAGGAAGGGCGCGGTGGCCGGACGGAGGGAGGAGGAGTGAGGAGTGGCGCGCGGCTGATCCTCGACGCAAGGAGTGCATGGCGGCGCAGGCGAACGAGGGACCGACTCAAAGACGCGCAGGAGACCTGAGACAAGGCGCTGGCTAGCCATGCTACGGAGGCGCGGGAGGGACGGGTGACCAAGACGGTGGTGTCACAGGACTGTCGGATGGGTGAGCGACCAACAGGAGCACGAGGAATCAACCTGACCATACACAGCTACTTGACCGGATGCAGCCACCTGGGGGGACGCAGTGTGCAGAACGAAGAGACATGAGTGGGGCTCCCTGGTGAATGTGGCAAGAAGTGCCCCAGTGGAAGCATCTGTAGAGATCGTCGTCCTCCCATGCGCAGGAAAAGTGACTGTGATCCCACGGTCCTGAAGGTATCCAACACCCACCAAGTTCCAAGAGAATGAGGGGATGTAGAGACCAGTGAGGAAACCGGAAGGGACAGCCGAGCACGGGAGGGTGGTAGAGCTGCGAGCGACTGCTGGTCCTGAAGTAGGATCAGCCAGGGCAACTAGGACTGGAGTAGAAAGAGGTGTGTCAGTGGTGTGGTCGCGGAAGAAGCACTGAGACGCGCCTGAGTCCAGCGTGAAGGAGAGCGACGCGTCAGCAGTCGTCACAGCTGGATTAGCAACTACACAAGCTCCTACACTCAAAACACAAGCACCTACACAAGCAACAGGCAAAGGTCCTAAGCTGGGTAAGATGCATCCATAGACATATCAAACACATGGTAACCACTACAAGACAGACCGGGCCAGATCGGTGGCTTCGAGTCAGGTCCAAAACGCTCACAGTAGAGGTCGTCGAGGCGACTGTAGCAGCGCAATGCAGAGTGGCTAGGACGCCAGCAGGTGGTGCCAGCACCAGGACCAGTCACGATCCGGTACTGGCAGGGGCCAACTAGGTACAACTCGGCGTGGAGGAGCTACCGTAGGTGGGAAAAAATAGCGCTCTACCCTCCGCATCGAAACGCAGGACTTGAGAGGACGCCATGGCGGGCTAGGAACGGCCGGAGAGAGGAGCAAAGGGAGCTAGTAACAACAGGTAAGTAACGGTCGGAGCGAGGAGCAAACGAAGCTAGGAGCGCCAGGCTAGGAAAGTAGCTGATGGAGTTATGAATGGCCGGAGGGAAGAAACCCTAAATCCTAACTGTGGCGAGGGAGAAAGACTAAGCGCCGGTAGTACACTAGAACTAGGATGTGCGGCTTCCAACCGCTGTGGAGCGGAACACTGAGAGAAGGAACGGTAGGAAACCCGAGAAACAATGGTGAGGAGCTAGGTAAGGCACAGGGAAGGCTGGGGCGCACTGGTGAGAGCCTAGGCGCGCTAGGGAAGGGTGCGCGCCTCGGGCTATGCTGCAGCGGGGCGCGCCTTGGGCTACGCGCACGCTTCGGGCACAGCTGCAGTGGCGCGGGCGCTCTTGTCTGCTGGGGCGAGGGTGAGCGCGGGTTTCTGCACGACCGCACGTTGTTTTCTGAGGCACCGTTGTCTCAGGTGCATTTACGTTTCCCGGACCTTTTCACCTCCCTCCTCCGCCCGAAATTTCCTATGTTTTCTACTTTCTCTTAGCATTGCGCTGGCGTCTAACGTGCTGGCGCCTAACGCGCTGGCGCCTTGCGTGCTGGCGCCTTGTGCGCTGGCGCCTTGCGCGCTGCGCCTTGCGCGCTGGCGCCTTGCGCGCTGGCGCCTAGCGAGCTGGCGCCTAGCGCGCTGGCGCCTTGCGCGCTGGCGCCTTGCGGGCCTGCACCTTGCGCGCTGGCGCCTTGCACGCTGCGCCTTGCGCGCTGGCGCCTTGCGCGCTGGCGCCTAGCGCGCTGGCGCCTTGCACGCTGGCGCCTACCGCGCTGCGCCTTGCGCGCTGGCGCCTACCGCGCTGGCGCCTCGCGCGCTGGCGCCTACCGCGCTGGCGCCTACCGCGCTGGCGCCTTCCGCGCTGGCGCCTTAGGCGCTGCCGCCTTGCGCGCTGCCGCCTTACGCGCTGCCGCCTCGCTGCAGTGAGCTCACGCTTTGCTGCAGTGAGCTCACGCCTTGCTGCAGTGAGCTCACGCGTTGCTGCAGTGAGCTCACGCCTTGCTGCAGTGAGCTCACGCGTTGCTGCAGTGAGCTCACGCGTTGCTGCAGTGAGCTCACGCCTTGCTGCAGTGAGCTCACGCGTTGCTGCAGTGAGCTCACGCCTTGCTGCAGTGAGCTCACGCCTTGCTGCAGTGAGCTCACGCCTTGCTGCAGTGAGCTCACGCCTTGCTGCAGTGAGCTCACGCCTTGCTGCAGTGAGCTCACGCGTTGCTGCAGTGAGCTCACGCCTTGCTGCAGTGAGCTCACGCGTTGCTGCAGTGAGCTCACGCCTTGCTGCAGTGAGCTCACGCCTTGCTGAAGTGAGCTCACGCCTTGCTGCAGTGAGCTCACGCCTTGCTGCAGTGAGCTCACGCCTTGCTGCAGTGAGCTCACGCATTGCTGCAGTGAGCTCACGCCTTGCTGCAGTGAGTCACGCCTGCTAGGGCGCGCGCACTGGGCTGCTGGGGCGCGCGCTCTGGTCTGCTGGGGCGCACGCTCTGATTGCTGAGGCGCGCGCTATAGGCTGCTAGGGCGCACGCTCTGGCTGCTTGGGCGCGCGCGCGCTGGTCTGCTGGGGTGCGCGCTGATCTGCCGGGGGGCACGCTCTGGCTGGGGCGCACACAGTAGCTAGGGGCGCACGTTTCGAGGTGCTGGACGGGACGGGCAGCGGGACGGGACGGGCAGTGGGATGGGACGGGCAGCGGGACGGACAGACAGCGGGACAGGACAAGACTGCCAGCTAGGAGACCTGGAGGACGAAGCTAAGTCGGGAGACGGGCTAAGAGAGGGTCCTACGAAACCTAACTCGATGATACCATCTCGAAGTACAAACAGCGGAATGAAGTGCACTAGGAACAATGGGATACAAACACCAACCCTAAAAGGGTTGTACTCCCTAGAGTGCTACTCAATGTAGCCTAAACAAGTAATATAACATTTGACAATACGGTCCCAAGGGAGCGACCGTACTTGACTACGGTAGAAGTGCCGTCCGTCACACAAGCACACCTTACGGTAATAGCAAGAACAATAAGGCAGCAAGGAGGCAATCAGATGCACGGTGCAGGGCTCCAGCCTGGACTGGAACGGCCACCTTCATCATGCCCTGGCAATGGGACACCACTGAACAGCCGAGGTACCGGGTCTTTGAGTCGACTCAAAGGCAAGAACACCAAGGTAGCGAAGAGGCAATCAGATGCACGGTGCAGGGTTCAAGAGTCAAGCCTGGACTGGAACGGCCACTTTCATCATGCCCTGGCAGTGGGACATCACTGAACAGCTGAAGTACAGGGTCTTGCCCTTGGCTGTGTTCGGCACCTTGAACCTGAAAGGGAGACGAATACAAACCGGACAGGTAGGAGCAGCACGATAAGTAATTCGTTATGACGCTTGGGGCGAATGCGTCAGGTTGTTCACAGGTTGGGCTGTGGAAAGTACGCCCATCAGAATAACCAGAGATGATCTTCCTGGTCTGTAAAGGCAGCAGCAAATGTACAGATTCCAAAGCACTCACACCTTTTTACCACGCCAATGAATCTCAGACGCCCTTGGGATTACCTTCTCATGCCACATGCGTGCTGTGCTGCTCACCTGTACTTGCCGCCCATGGTCTGGGGTGTCAGCTTCTTAGCCGCCCCAAAGTTGCAGCCCCTGTACGCCGCGGCACCGTTCATCTGCCACACGTCGTGCTTGCCCATCCACTTGAACACTGCCATGGGGTGCCCGGGACAGCAGGGGATACGGGCGAGCAGAGATCAGCTTCCAGAGAAAATGGTGGTAAGCATGAGGAATGTGCACGCGGCACAATGAACCCCACTCGCTTATCGCGGTTTCCGCAAGCGGCCTACCGATGCAACTTGTGCTTGAAGCAGTGCACCAGTGGTGATACCACTGGCGATCGTTTTAGAGACCAAACAACCACCTTACAAGGTGCGCGCGCGGATTACATTCACGAGCAAGGGCAGCATAGGGAGGAACAGTGAGAGGGAAGCACTAGGGTGGTGGCGCATGTGAGGGGCACGCACGCACCGAGCACGTCGCCTGCTTTCGCAGGCGGGTTGGGCTTCCAGCTGCTGATCTGGAACGTCCACCCATTGGTGCCGCCCACCGCTATGTCCCTCGCCTGCGCGCGTGGGGTGCAGTGCAGTGGTGGGTGGAGGGAGTGAGAAGGGGTTTGGGAATGAGTGGGATGAGGAGGAGTGGGATTGAGGAGGAGAATGGCATAAAAACAACCGCGACGGTATTGAATATTGGCACGCAAGTGCAGAGTAAGGGCAGGGAAGAGCGGGATAAGACGGGAGTGGGAGAAGCAGGGAGAGCGGGAGAAGCAGGGAGGGAGCGGGAGAATCAGGAGAGCGGAGAGGGCAAGAAAGCGCAGCAAGCGATAGGTAGCGGGTACATCAATGATCGGGTGAGGTCGGGAGGGCGGGAAAGGGAGACTCTCCCTCGGAGGCGTACCTCAGCGTGGGTTGCGGCTGAGGAGCAAACGACCGCACACCATGCACGGCGAGGCAGGGGGGAGGGGAGGCAGCGGGTAGGAGAGGCAGGAAGGAAAATCAGGGGAAGTAAGGGAGGAGGGACGATGATGCAATGCGAATAATCTAGCGTGAATGTCAGTCGGAATAGGTAGTCAACCGACACCGAGCTTGCTTTGATATCAAATTGAGCTCGCGCTGCGTCGCCAAGGTTCTATCAGACTCAGACCGACAAAATTGGCCCGAATTCTGTTAAATTGAACTAATATTAAACAAAAACGGATTCGAAAAGGAACAGACAGCGAGCCATGGCTTCAAAACTGGTCGACACAAGGGCGTAACAAAAGGTCTCGAAGAAGAACAGGCAGCATGTAATAACGAACACCAGGAGCGAGGGAGAGGGGCGTACCGAGCAGGACGAGCAGGCCAGCGGCGACGAGCGCGATCGCGGAGAGCGAGCGAGCCATGGCGACGACGGACGGCGCGCAACGAGACGTTGAGCTTCAGACGCGCTGAGGCTTGAATGGAGCTCGCCGAGTCGACGTTGCAGCGACCGCGAGGCCTAGGCTCGGAGTCGTTGCTGACGGACGCAAGTTGAAGTGGTGGGAAGGTAGTGAGGTGCGCGGACTGGACACATGGATGGGGAGGAGACGAGCGGGTTCATATACTAATACTCCGTCATCGTTATGTCGGGTGCTGCTGGTGCCACCTGCCGGGAACTTGGAAGGGGAGAGCGCGGAGCAGACAGGCGCGGGTTTCGGAGCTGGCGGACGGCAAATACTGGAGAGTGACGTGACGAGGCGATGAGATGACGGCGCGGAAGATGTAGAGTGCAACTGCACTGCACTGTACGGCTCCCCCTCCCCCTCCTCCCCTCCCCACACCCCCCCCCCCCCCCCCTCTCATGGCAATTCAAAACCCAACCGTGCGCGGAGGTTCCCACCGTCCTCGTTGCATCCGCGGGTCCGCTGTGGGCCTGTTCTTCACATGCGCTGGGCGCACAGCAGAGGCGGCCGCAGCAACCTGCCCATACCAGATCTGTCGGGTCCATGTTGGGCAACTGTGGCTGGCGGACCGCACGCGCAACATGAACGAATTGACGTCGGCGGCAAGGGCTCAGGGTGGCCAGGGGATTAACCGGCCCGTTCGGTCGTCAACTGACCTTGGGAAGGAAAACTTATAACCTTAATCTAGTCAACCCTAAACACCCCAGCGATTGCTTCTATTGAATCCGTCGTGTGAATGATTGGCTGAAAACACAAGGAAAACAAAATACCTTACGGCAATGAATGACGAAATGCCTTGCTATTCCCCGATAGCGACTCTACGGGCATCTTGCAGTGGCGGGCGAACCTAGATCAAGACTCGGATCTGCCAGGGTCTAGTAGTGCCCAGGCGGTTGCTTTGGTTTTCTTATTTCCACATGCAAGACAACAGCTAAGTACACATGATGCCCATTACAGTCCCACATACTCTATCGATGTTCTGGGTGTAAAACGAGCACTGCATTTCGCGAGCGCTCGTCAACGCTTGCCACGGGCAAATATGGGCTTGTAAATAACACAAGAGTAACACGTTTGTTGTTTTGCGTAACAGTGAAGGGTGGCAGCTTTTGTTGTGCTCCGCGCTGCGAGGCAACTGCGGTTGTTTGTTCCACACGTTGCCAGTTTGACGAACGGCCTTGCCTTTGCAAGTGGCTCGGTAGGTCTGTAAACCGCAAAAATCGCTGGCAACTGCCCGGTACAAAATGGTCATGGGCAGAGATTCGGGATTGGGCATAGCAAATGTGCGTGCAACAGGTGAGCATCAGGTGTAGATCTGAAAGGGTAACTGTCAGAATTTGATATTTGTCTAGTCTGCAGTGGGGTACTCTATAGTGAGTACAGCCCGGTTAGGGTTTGCTATTTGTATCCCAACTGCCTGCTAGTGAAACCCTCTTCCTTTCATTCCTGTTTTACCTAGCTACTTTGACATGCTATCAGAGCGTCTACGCTCCTAGCCTGTGGGCCCACCTGCTTCCGCTGCTGTACTGTCTGTCGTGCGCCCCGTGGCGCGCGACGTTTTTTCTTCCCGCCACGCGCTCGAGGCGCGTGGCGGTTTTCTGCCCGCCACCCGCTCGGGGCGCGTGGCGGTTTCCTGCCCGCCGCGCGCCCCGGGCGCGCGCGGCGGTTTCACGCCCCATCGTCCGTCGCGGCACCCCCAAGGACCCGCGCGCGGCCCCCCATCGCCTGTCGCGGCGCCCCCGGGGACCAGTGCGCCGCCCCCGTCGTCCGTCGCGGCGCCCCCGGGGACTGTCGCGCCGTCCCCGTCGTCCGTCGCGGCGCCCCCGGGGACCCGCGCGCTGCCCCCCGTCGCCCGTCGCGGCGCCCCCGGGGACCCGCGCGCCGCTCCCCCCCGTCGCCCGTCGCGGCCCCCCGGGGACCCGCGCGCCGTCCCCCGTCGCCTGTCGCGGCGCCCCCGGGGACCCGCGCGCCGCCCCTTGACCCCGTGCGCCGCGGGGCTGCTTCCCTCCCGCCCCTCCCCTTTCTCCTTCCTCTCCCTAATGCGCGTGCAGCTACGGGGGTGGCGGGTATGGGGGTGGCGGGTGTGTGAGCCGTCCCCTGCTCCTCCTCCTCCTCCGTCTCCCACTGCTGCAGCTGACGCTGAGGGGGGTGGATGTGTGGGAGCCAAGGGAGTGGCGCTAAGGGGGTGCCGTGGGAGTGGAGCTAGGAGTGCATAGGGGGGTGTGTGAAAGGGGGTCTGCGACAGTGGGGGAGGTTGAACGGAGGTAGCCGTTGTGGAGCCAGCAGCGCCAGTAGTCCAGATGCCCTTGCTCCGGTAGCCAGCGAGCCCGTTGCGCCAGTCTCCCGTGGGTCCGTTGCTCCAGCCGCTCGTCTTAGCCGCGGAGCCAGTTACTCCAGTAGTCCGGGGCCCTTGCTCCGGTAGCCCGTGTGCCAGTTGCTCCAGTAGCCCGTGTGCCAGCAGCTTCAGCCGCCGCCTCCAATCTCCACTCCTCTCACAGTCCCTCCTCCTCCTCACGAGTCCTCTTTGTCTCCCACTAGCTTTGCTTGTGCTTGTGAACTTATTATGTGACTGCTTGCTGTGCTGATTATACCCCACTTTGCCTATGGGGGTGTGTCAGAATGTGATATTTGTCTAGTCTGCAGTGGGGTACTCTATAGTGAGTACAGCCCGGTTAGGGTTTGCTATTTGTATCCCAACTGCCTGCTAGTGAAACCCTCTTTCTTTCATGCCTCTTTCACCTAACTGCTCTGACAGTAACACCTCAGCATATCACAAAGCAGATCATGCCTTCTTATTATAACCGCATAGCAATACAACAGTGTTCTACATATAAGGGTTTCTGAACGTATTCAGGAGGTGTGGAATATCATAAGCGAGCATCCTGTCCACCTCTTCCACAAGCTTCACGTTGAGCCTCTCAAAGCTCTCAAACTCACACCCTGCCAGCGCGCGTTGAAAGAGCGCCACGGGTGGAAGGTCGCCCTCAGCCAGGCGATGCTCCCGAGCCACCTGGAGAGCAACAAAAGGGGGGGGAGGTGGAGAAGGAGGGGAGTGTGGGGACATAGATAAAGGGGTGGAGGTGGAGGGAAGATTGGCATGAATGATTGGAGGCTCGGGGACAGGAGCAGGTCAAGGCTCCCTAACTTACTGCCTGGTGATGTGCACTGTGCTGGGTTGAGTAATTCCAAGACACTGAAGTGGAACCTTCCAACTACGAGAAGCTGGTCGTCAATAGCAGTTGGCTCTCCGGGTGGGGTGAAACGCCATGGGTGCAAGGCAGGGCGAGAGAGGGCCACGAGGGTACCACGAGTTCGAAGCACATGAATGAACCTTTGCTGTTCCCTTGATGTTTTTTAGAGTTCTCAGAAACACCAAACACGGCAGCTTCAACCCCTGCACGTCCCTTCCCCATTCCCCCTCCCCCCAACGCCCTCACCTTGTCAAACTCCTGCGGCAGGTTCTCAATGAGCCTCTGCTGCGCCTTGGCGCGGCCAAAGAGGGGCAGCTGCGCGCGCAGGTGGGCGATGATGAACGCGTTCACCCTCGCTGCCCGCGTGCGCTTCACAAACTCGTTGATCTGCACACCCAGGGGCGAGAGATCAGATCGGGGATGGGGGACGGGGGAAAGGCGAAAGGCAAGGGCCAATGGGAAAAGGGGATATGGGGAAGAGACAAGGGGTAAGGGGCGAGAGGCAAGGGGAAATGGGGAATGGGCAAGGGTCAAGGGTCAAGGGGCGAGGGAAGTGGGGCGCGTTGTTAGTATGTTCTGGATGGGAAGTGGATGCATCCACTCCTGCTCCCATCCTGGACGGTATGTTTCACCTGGCGCTCTCCCTCCCCCATATCTCCCCTCGTCTTAAATAGCTTAAATCCCACCCCCCTCCACGACTCCTCACCTTGCGGTCGCAGCTCTTCCGGGGAAGGTCCCCCAGGTCAGACAGCAGGTCGTTCATCTCTCTCTCAAACAGCGCCCGCCCCAGCCGCCCCTCCGCGTCCTCCTCCTCTTCCTCTTCCTCTTCCACTTCCTCCGTTTCCTCCTCATATTCAATCTGACCCTTTGGCTGCTCAACCTTCCCCCTTCCCCTCCTTGCAGCCTTCCCCTCGCCACGGCTCATGGGCGCCACGTTCTCCTTGTCTCGGCTGTTTTCCACCTCGGCTCCTCTGCGCCCCTCTGCTGCGTTGCCGCACTCCTCTTTTCCCTCCTCTTTGCTCTTCTCTCCAACCTCCTCTCCGCTCTCCCCATTTCCGTTCTCAAGACCTGCACCGTTCGCACCCTCTTCTCCCACTGTTGCACACGCGTTCCTTGCCTCCGCCTCAGTCTCCGCTTCCTTGTTTCCCGCCTCTCCCTTCTCCTTGCTTGGGACAACCGTCGTCTCCTTGGTCTCCTTCGTCTCCCTGGTCTCCTCGCCAGCAGTTGACTCGCATCCGATGGTCGTCTGCTGCGTTGCTGCCCGCAGCTGAAGCGCCTGCTTGCGTGGCTTCTGGGCAGGAAGCTTCTTCTTGCCAGGAAGCTTCTTTGCAGGAAGCTTCTTCTTGCCAGGAGCTGTGTCCGAGAAAGATCTGATGAGGGTGAGGAGGAGAGGAGGAGGTGAAGAAGGGAGGAGGTTGAGGAGAGGAGTACGGGGGGGGAAGGGTGAGCAAGGGAGCAGCAGGGGTTGCGCGGTGCACTGAAGTCCACGCTACAGCGCTGCCATAGTGACTGTGTGTGTGGCAGCACAGCGGCAAGGCCTCACCCTATGAACTCACACGCACCCATCTTGAGGCGCCCCAGAAGCCGCTTCAGCAGCCATGGCACAATGGCAAGGGCCCACTCTATAAGCACACACGCACGATTACAGGTGTGTCTTGCGTAGGAGCACCATGACACCAACACTCAACGCCTACAAGCACGTCCTTTACAGCCATTCACCCAACGAACCCACTCACCCAACGAGGCAACTCACCCAATGTACACGCGCATGACTTCAGGTGTGTTGATGACCTTCCCCAGTGACCACATGAGCGCCCCGTACACTCGCATGAGCTGAGGGGGTGGGGGAGGGATAAGAAGAAAGGGGCAAGAGCGGATGAGGTGAGAGGGTGGGGTGCGAGGAGCGAAGCAGTAGCAAGAGCACAGGAGGTGTGTTGATGACCTTCCCCGGCGACCACATGAGCGCCCCGTACACTCGCATGAGCTGCGGGGGTGGGGAGAGAGGATAGGGAAGCATCGTGAAGTGGGGAGGACGAGGGGTACGGCTGAAGTGGGGAGGAACGGCCCGAGCATAGATTGATAATCGTGAATGACTTCAGAGAATTCTCAAAAACGAAATTACTATGGCCACAGCAGCAGAAGCTCGCCTTGTTTTGTGTTCTAACTTGTCGGCCTTGGTGATCTGCACGCGGATTAGCTTTGCCATGCCCCTGCTGCTTGAGGTTCTTCAGCTGAATTTATCACCATCCGCACCTGCTGTGTGTTGACCTGGTCCGCCTTGCTGAGCACAAGGTGGATCGTACCAGCGTTGCCGTGCACGCTTGCTGTGAGTCATACCGTGCACGCACCTGATTCCATGCTGCAACGTCACCACTCGATCAAACGCACTCGAACGCACCAGCTGTGTGTTGACCTGGTCAACGCGTCTCACCTGCTGCGTGTTGACCTGGTCGGCCTTGTTGAGCACGAGGCGGATCTTATCCTTGTTGCCGTGCAGCGACGTGATGACTCGCTTGAACTCGTCGCTCACGTCCAGCTTGTGCGGGTCGAAGAGCAGGAGAATGAGGTCGCACTTGGAGGCGAACCACTGAGAGGTAGGGGGGGATGGGTGAGGAAGGGGAGTGAGCAGCCATCGTCGCTCACGTCCAGCTTGTGCGGGTCGAAGAGCAGCAGGATGAGGTCGCACTTGGATGCGAACCACTGGGGGGAGGGAAGGGGGAGAGGAAGGGGATGGGAAGAGGAGCTTGTACGGCTTGCGTGTCAAAGAGCAGTGGGCGAACCATTGGGGGAGGGGAGGGGCACACGGAGACGAGGTCGTGGCTGATCAGAGTCCTCTACCTGAGGAGGAGCAGTGCATCTCCTCTGAGCTGCTCACCTCCTCTGAGCTGCTCACCTCCTCTGAGCTGCTCACCTCCTCTGAGCTGCTCACCTCCTCTGAGCTGCTCACCTCCTCTGAGCTGCTCACCTCCTCTGAGCTGCTCACCTCCTCTGAGCTGCTCACCTCCTCTGAGCTGCTCACCTCCTCTGAGCTGCTCACCTCCTCTGAGCTGCTCACCTCCTCTGAGCTGCTCACCTCCTCTGAGCTGCTCACCTCCTCTGAGCTGCTCACCTCCTCTGAGCTGCTCACCTCCTCTGAGCTGCTCACCTCCTCTGAGCTGCTCACCTCCTCTGAGCTGCTCACCTCCTCTGAGCTGCTCACCTCCTCTGAGCTGCTCACCTCCTCTGAGCTGCTCACCTCCTCTGAGCTGCTCACCTCCTCTGAGCTGCTCACCTCCTCTGAGCTGCTCACCTCCTCTGAGCTGCTCACCTCCTCTGAGCTGCTCACCTCCTCTGAGCTGCTCACCTCCTCTGAGCTGCTCACCTCCTCTGAGCTGCTCACCTCCTCTGAGCTGCTCACCTCCTCTGAGCTGCTCACCTCCTCTGAGCTGCTCACCTCCTCTGAGCTGCTCACCTCCTCTGAGCTGCTCACCTCCTCTGAGCTGCTCACCTCCTCTGAGCTGCTCACCTCCTCCAGGCTTCACAAGACAACCTCCTCCATACACAATGGGGGATGAACATCATTGTGGAGATTGGATGCACATGCTTCTCTCTCCATCCCTGAACTCCAGTCTCGGACACCCATAGGTTTCTCCCTCACTCACCTCAACCTCACCCCGCCCTCACTCACCCCCCTCACCCTCCTACCCCCCCCCCCCTCTCCCTCACCTCAGTGACCCCAGTGAAGTCGTAGCTGCGTTGGGTGCGCTGCTTCTCCCCCGCCAGCACGCCCGGCGTGTCCACCAGGCAGATGTGGTCCAGCAGGGGGTGGGGTAGCTGGTGGGGGGGGAGGGTGAGAGAAGGAACGAGCGGGGAGGTGTTGATGGCAGTGGGGAACAGCGGTACTGCCAGCACGCCTGGTGTGTCCACCAGGCAGATGTGGTCCAGCAGGGGGTGGGGCAGCTGGTGAGAGGGGGCAGTGGGGGGGAGTAGGGGAGAAGAAGGGTTAATAAAACCGAGGAAAATAGTGGTGTAGAACCTTAAGGTAACTGCTGCCAGCACGCCCGGTGTGTCCACCAGGCATATGTGGTCCAGCAGTGGGTGGGGTAGCTGGTGGGGGGATAGAGAGGGGGGGTAAAAGGGGAGAAGGGCTCAGGGGGAGATGCCAGTACTGCCAGCACGCCCGGCGTGTCCACCAGGCAGATGTGATCCAGTGGGGGGTGGGGTAGCTGGTGGGGGGTAAGAGGGAGAAGATGGAGCAGGGGAGTGTTGATGGCAGAGAGGGTAACAACAGCGGTGCATTCATGCACTCTTGGTGTGTCCACCAGGCATAAGTGATCCAGCAGGGGGTGGGGTAGCTGGTGAGGGGTGGGGGTAGAAGGGGGGTGGAATGGAAGGGAGGGAAACAGTGCTGTAGATGGAGAGCGGGAAGACGAGGGATGAAAGGCAACAGGACGCAAGGGGGTTGATGGCAGAAGGGGGAATAATGTAAGGCAGCACTCTTGGAGTGGAGTGTCCACGAGGCAACTGCGGTGCAGAAGAGGGTGGGGTGGCTGAAGAGAAACGGGAGGGGGGAATTGGACGGGGAGTAGGCAGTAGTGACGCTGGCACTAGCAGGACTCACAAGAGGCTCGCTCAGGGGATGCGGTTGAGGAGAGGGTCGTGTGAGGAGGGGGGAGAAGCAAGCAGAGAGGGCTGGTATGCAGTGTGATGGCTGCTCGACTGTCAACTTCTTGACACGTCTCAAAAGCACCAGCTCTTGTGCCCACCGCGCCCCACCTGCGTCCACACCGCCTCACCTGCGCCCACCACGCGCCACCTGCGTCCACCGCATCTCACCTGAGCGACTTCGAGCTTCTCGAGGAAGGCGGAGCCGAAGCGGGTGAGACCGGCGAAGGGCATGTCCGCACTCACTGCCACTGTGTTGCCCGGTATGCTCCTATCGTCCGGTCCGTTCTGATGGGTGACGGAAGGAAAGGAGAGAGGAAATGGGGAGGTATGGTATGGAATAAGTTGACTGGTGGAGGGGAGGGCATGTCTGCGCTCACTGCCACCGTGTTGCCCGGTATGCTCCTATCGTCCGGTCCGTTCTGATGGGTGGGAGGAGAGGGGGGGGGGGGAAAGAAGGAAAAGAGAGAGGAGCAGGTGTGGATTGAGTTGACTGGAGGAGCGGAGGGCATGTCCGCACTCACTGCCACCGTGTTGCCGGGGATGCTGCGGTCGTCCGGTCCGTTCTGATGGGATGTGGGGAGGGAGGTGATGGAAAGGGATTGATCACGTGAGAGAGATCGTGTTAGAGTGCAACAACTGGCAAGGGATGTGGAGGGGAAAGAAAAGAGGAGAGGTGAGAGTAGGAATGAAGGAGTAGAGACGACAATAGTGCCTAGGAGGTGAGATGGGGGGAGGAGAGAGGAGGCAGGGGGAGAAGAGAGGAGCGGTGAGAGGGGAGGAGGGGAGGAGGGGAGGAGGGGAGGAGGGGAGGAGGACGCACCATGACGACAACAAAACGGTCGGTGGTGGGCTCTGGACCGATGTGCGACCCTGCAGATAGAACAGAGGTGCGGGAGGTGTGAGGAGGGTGAGGAAGAGGGTGAGTGGAAGTCAATGGAGGACGACAGCGGTCAACGGAGGGGCTGCAGTGGACTGGCGTGGAGGGTAGGCTGGAGATAAGGGAATGCTGAGCTGACGAGGAGGAGGAAGAGAGAGCTTACCAGGGTAGGGACGGCTGAGCAGATGGCGGATGAAGGTGGTCTTGCCCGTGCTGTACTGCAGGTGGGGGATGGATGGATAGAGAGAGTAGGCGGTGGCAGGGAGTAGGCGGTGGCAGGGAGTAGGCGGTGGCAGGGAGTAGGCGGTGGCAGGGAGTAGGGGCATAAGAATGGAATCAGGTCGGATCGGATGGGCATGGAACAGGGGCGCATGGGACTAGAGAATGCTTGTGACGATATGAAGAGACACGCAAAACGTGAGATCTTGTGGCATGTTCTTGTGAGATTTTATCACATGCGTACTCTCTTATTTCTGTCAACTTGGGCCAGTCAGATCAGACGTTCTCACCTGCCCCAGCAGCATCACCATGGGCTTGGCCTCAAAGTCGCTCCCCGTCTGAAGGCGCATGGGCGACACGTGCGGGGAGAAGGGGCAGTGAGGAGAGCGGGATGGGATGGAGTGGTGCAAGCACGGTTAGGAACGGCGGTGCAGCCATGTGGTTGGGTGCAGCCATGTGGTTGGGTGCAGCCATGTGGTTGGGTGCAGCCATGTGGTTGGGTGCAGCCATGTGGTTGGGTGCAGCCATGTGGTTGGGTGCAGCCATGTGGTTGGGTGCAGCCATGTGGGTGGGTGCAGCCATGTGGTTGGGTGCAGCCATGTGGTTGGGTGCAGCCATGTGGGTGGGTGCAGCCATGTGGGTGGGTGCAGCCATGTGGGTGGGTGCAGCCATGTGGGTGGGTGCAGCCATGTGGGTGGGTGCAGCCATGTGGGTGGGTGCAGCCATGTGGGTGGGTGCAGCCATGTGGGTGGGTGCAGCCATGTGGGTGGGTGCAGCCATGTGGGTGGGTGCAGCCATGTGGGTGGGTGCAGCCATGTGGGTGGGTGCAGCCATGTGGGTGGGTGCAGCCATGTGGGTGGGTGCAGCCATGTGGGTGGGTGCAGCCATGTGGGTGGGTGCAGCCATGTGGGTGGGTGCAGCCATGTGGGTGGGTGCAGCCATGTGGGTGGGTGCAGCCATGTGGGTGGGTGCAGCCATGTGGGTGGGTGCAGCCATGTGGGTGGGTGCAGCCATGTGGGTGGGTGCAGCCATGTGGGTGGGTGCAGCCATGTGGGTGGGTGCAGCCATGTGGGTGGGTGCAGCCATGTGGGTGGGTGCAGCCATGTGGGTGGGTGCAGCCATGTGGGTGGGTGCAGCCATGTGGGTGGGTGCAGCCATGTGGGTGGGTGCAGCCATGTGGTTGGGTGCAGCCATGTGGTTGGGTGCAGCCATGTGGGTGGGTGCAGCCATGTGGGTGGGTGCAGCCATGTGGGTGGGTGCAGCCATGTGGGTGGGTGCAGCCATGTGGGTGGGTGCAGCCATGTGGGTGGGTGCAGCCATGTGGGTGGGTGCAGCCATGTGGGTGGGTGCAGCCATGTGGGTGGGTGCAGCCATGTGGGTGGGTGCAGCCATGTGGGTGGGTGCAGCCATGTGGGTGGGTGCAGCCATGTGGGTGGGTGCAGCCATGTGGGTGGGTGCAGCCATGTGGGTGGACGGAAGCAACAGGAGGGAACTGTGATGACTGACGAGAGAGGGCGAGTGGAAGTCGGGCATTAGAGCACGGCAACGCACGGCAGCATGGCATGGCAGCATGGCATGAAGCATGGCATGGCAGCATGGCATGGCAGCATGACATGGCAGCATGGCATGGCAGCATGGCATGGCAGCATGGCATGGCAGCATGGCATGGCAGCATGGCATGAAGCATGGCATGGCAGCATGGCATGGCAGCATGGCATGAAGCATGGCATGGCAGCATGGCATGGCAGCATGGCATGGCAGCATGGAATGAAGCATGGCATGGCAGGGAAGAGGAAGAGGAAGGGAGGGACAGACGAGGGCGGGCGAGTGGAAGTCGTGGAAGCGGTATGCCTCCTCCAGCGGCCGCAGCTTGCTCTCATACAGCCCCCTCAACCCGTCCACCACCGACGTTATGGCTCCCTGGGGGAGTGGCTGGTGGGGGGGGTGTTAGGTACAGAGGGACAAGAAGCAGACAAAGAGGGGAATGGAGAGAGTGAGAAGAGGCCGCAGCTTGCTCTCGTACAGCCCTCTCAGCCCGTCCACCACTGATGTGATGGCTCCCTGCGGTAGTGGCTGGTGGGGAGAGGTAAAAAGTGACACGCCGAGGGGATGGGGGAGAGTAAGAGAGTGAGAAGAGGCCACAGCTTGCTCTCGTACAGCCCCCTCAGCCCGTCCATCACCGACGTTATGGCGCCCTGCGGTAGCGGCTGGTGGGGGGGGTGTTAGGTACAGAGGGACAAGAAGCAGACGAAGAGGGGAATGGAGAGGGTGAGAAGAGGCCGCAGCTTGCTCTCGTACAGCCCCCTCAACCCATCCACCACGGAGGTTATGGCTCCCTGTGGTAATGGCTGGTGGGGAGGCACGAAGCAGACAGAGAGGGGACGAGGAGAGCACGAGAGCATGGCACATGAGGGCATGGCACATGAGAGCATGGCACATGAGGGCATGGCACATGAGAGCATGGCACATGAGGGCATGGCACATGAGAGCATGGCACATGAGGGCATGGCACATGAGAGCATGGCACATGAGGGCACGGCACATGAGAGCCTCAAAGCAACCCCAGCTGACGCATTGGATCCCAGGTGCAGAGTGAATGGAAGGATGGAATGATGATGGATATGGGGCGAAGAAGGGAAAGGTCCAAGGCGTACCTTCTTGGCCTTGGGCTTGAGAAGTGACATGAGGGATGCGGCGAGGGAGGGGTGTGGTATGTATGAGAGAAAAAAGGACAGGGCCGTGATCGTACCTTCTTGGTCCTGGGCTTGAACAGCGACATGAGCGATGCGGCTAGGGAGGGGTCCGGCTCCTCTGTTGCGATGGGGGTTTGGGAATCAGAGAGGGTGGGGAGACAAGATCCGTCGGTGAGGGTGGATGGGAGAGTGAGAAGAGGGGAAGTGGAGAGAGGAGAGGGTACCGAACAAGACCATACATGCTGTCAGGACCATCCATGCTTTCAGGACCATCCATGCTGTGAAGAGGGAAACAAACAAGCTCGCGCCTACCAGGCGTGTCGGACTCAATGGAGGCGGTGCAGGCGAGGATGCTCTCCGACGCTGTGCGAGTCGACTCACAGTACATCACAAGCAAACACGCAAAGCACATGCCTTGCTGCACACGCCTCGCAGGACACGGTTCGCAGCCCGCGCCTCACCGTGCGTGTCGGACTCAATGGAGGCGGTGCAGGCGAGAATGCTCTCGGACGCCAGCGCCTCGTCCAGCCCCCTCAGCGCCGGGAAGCACGGCTGGCACGCTGGCAAGGGGGAGAACGGTGACGGTGGGGAGGGGAAGGGAAGGGAAGAGAGAGCTGGGATTGAGGGCGGCGAGAGTGGCAGATAGCCGATTGGGTGTCCGTGAGGCAGCATGCAAGGAGTGAGCAGAGGAGTGTGGGGATCGGGATATCGGGGGGAGTGCCTTGGAACTGCCACTCACTTGCCACCACTGCCGTCAACGAAGGCAGCATGGAAGGCATGGAGCATGACGCGTGGAGCATAAGCAATGCAGCATGCAGCATGCACCAAACACCATGCATGAAGCAGCATGCAGCACGCCCCAGGGCCCACAGGGCTCACTGGGCATGTCTTCCCCGCGCTACAGCAGTTGCTGTTGCCACACCATCTCCCTTCCCCATGCCCCCTGCCCCATGCATCAAGCAGCATGCAGCATTCCCCAGACCCCGCGCACCACTTGGCACTCATACCCACAGCCCTGCTCACCAGGCATGTCATCTCCGCGCCACAGCAGCTGCTGCTGCACCCTGCCCTTCCCCATGCCCCATGCCCCATGCCCCATGCTCCATGCCCCATGCCCCATGCCCCTTGCCCCATGCCCCATGCCCCATGCCATGCCCCATGCCCGATGCAGCATGCAGCATGCAGCATGCACCCCAGCCCAGCTCACCGGGCATGTCTTCCCCGCGCGACAGCTGCTGCTGCTTGGCGATCAGCCGCATGGCCACCACGAACCCCTCCATGCCCAGGTAGCCCTGCACAGGTGCGCAGAGGGGCGCAGAGGTGTGCAGAGGGGTGCAGAGGCAGAGGCAGAGGCAGACGAGGGGGAGAGGGAGAGGGAGCGGGAGAAGGGGAGGGAGGGTCGTTCAGTGTGCTGGCAACCAGACGGGGAAACATTTTGCACAATGGTGCAGTGCAGGCTTGAACAGGAGTTGAATGCGTCTGAAACGAGTGAAGAGCAAGTGTGCAACGAATGCCGGGTGGCGTAGGCGGAGGAGCGCTGAGCGGTGGGAGGGCGCAGGAAATGCAGGCAGGTGCTGGGAGGGAGAGGAGGCGGGTGCGGGGAGTCAGAGGAGGATGCGGGGCCAAGGAGGCGCAGGTGCTCTGAATGTGCTTGCGCACACACGCATGCCCGCTCGTACCTGTCGACGGTCGTCCGCAGCCGCCCAGATCTGCGCACGTGAGAGGCGCGGGGTTGAGAGGTCCGCGAGAGATGTGGGGGAAGGAAGACAGGCGGAGGGAATAGATATGGTGAGGCACCGGGAATGAAGGAAAGAGTAGGGGCAACGAGACGAAGAACAAGGCTCAATGTCAAATACCAGCTTTAACCGCCACGGATTAAGCTCACCGTTCCTCGTTCAGCTTGTTCCCGTTTCAACCCGTACTCATTTCAACTAATATACTGTTTCATCTCGTACCGGTTCCGCTCGTACGGGTTTCATCGCGTACCGCTTTGAGCTCGTGCTGCAGAAGGCCGGAGCGCTTGAAGAAGGGAACGGCGTCCGGGCCCGTGATGCGCCCGTCGCCATCTGCACGGGCGGGCGAGAATGGAGAGAACGGAGAGGAATTACGGTGAACGGGACATCTATTGGTGAATGGGAGATTCAGCGCGACTAAAGTCTTGGTATGGTTACGGCCGAGGTTCGATTTTTTTTCAAAATAAAGAACGCTGGGAACCCAGCGCTTCCCGAAAAAGCAATGCGGCCTCAGCCAGGGATTTTTTACTTGAGTGCGCATGGTAGCGATAGAAACAGCGAGTGGCGAGGAGGGGCTAGGATGCTCGAGAGGGGACAAACGGCGAATGCACGCGGTGACAGTTGAGGTGGCTGATGGGTGGAATCATGATAGCGAGTAGCATGCCTCATGAGGCGCCGTACAGGCCACGATCAAGTCGACGGGGATGCTTGAGATGGTGTAGAGGGAGCAGGTGAGGCGAGTGACGGAGATGAATGGTGGCGGTGAGGCGACAGGTGGAAAAAGACGCACCTGAGTCGACGAATGCGAACCAGCGACGGTAGACCTGCGAGGAGGCGACGGGACGGACAGCAAACCAGCAAACCAGTGAATACATATGAAACAAAACAGAAATAACGAAATGTCACAGAAACGAGTTTGCATCTGCTCGATAGTCATATTCGCATCACATTCGCCGTAAGGCGGCCAGCGCTACTACCTACGCCATGAAACGCGGGGTTTCGTGTTGTGCATCTCCGAGATGTATTAATTCCCAAAGAACGTCTCGGTTTGAGAGAGTTTGTTGCACTCTCCGTCAGCAGCGGCACTCACCCGCATTTCCTCCTTGCTGCACATTGCGGGCTGCGCCGCGACGAGAACGTCTCCGCTCGGCATGCTTCCTCGATGAGTTCCGAGTCTTGAGGAGCAAATGCTTCGTGGAGTGTGCAACGATAATATGCGTATGTCTTTCAAAATCTCACTATGCGTTTCCAGGGATAAGACAGACTATCAGGCTTCAAGATCGTTGAACTTGACGCAACGTTGTGAATGAAACTATCAAGAAAAAAAATGAGAATAAGAATGAAAGTCCAGCGAGCAGCCATGACATTTTATGCGACAGGAGTGTCGAGTGGAGCACGAGGCAGCAAGAGGCGCAGAACCAAGTTGTGCGGGAGGGGCCACGGGAGGTGCCTGCGATATGCTGTGTTTCAAAATGGTATCCACGAGAACCGTGTCAAACCGTGTAAACAACGTTATAACCGTTATCAACGAACATTGTCAAATGCCGTTGGACTGCCCGAACCAAATTCGCTAGGCATTGGTTGGAGCACGGGCAGTCAAACTGATCTGAACGCGTTTCTCCGCAGCCCATTGGAGGAAGCTTGCATTGGTGTTGGGCGCTTGTTGCGGCCTGACATTGTACGCGTCACAAGCACGGAAACGCGCATTCGGCGGACCTGACGATAACCCTGCCTAGGCGGTGCCCGCCGACCTACAGCAAGTGTAGCCTAGTTCCTGTCATGCGGGATGGGGTATCTTGCGTGTCATATTTTCAGAAGAATATGAGCTGGTAGACATATATCCAAATTACTTCAACAGGCATGAGAATATGGCAGTGCTAAACAAGCCATCTAAACGACTTTGTGTCACAGCAACAATACTGCTGGATCTGACTTACTTCCCATGGTCAATGCTTGAGCACGTGTTTTCCTAACACAGGTGTGCAAACCTGGACACATACCGTACATGGCACTGTATAAAAATACTCCGCACAGCTCCATCCCACCCTCTTTACCTGTTCATCCGAGTTTGCTGTTTCAAACAAAACAAATAATTTCCAACTAAACGACTTGGTAGCTTTCCACACTCATCTGTGTTCTCCCTGCAAACTTGACTGGTTGGCCACTGCTTGCTTGAGTGACAGATAAAACCTGAAATGGCCAAACAGAGGAAAACATTACTTCAAAGAATGCATAAGCCATCCAACTGTACTTGATCGTCAATTGCTGTACCGGGCTCAAAGGGGGGGGCGTGGGGAAGGCTTGAAAGTGGGGGGGAACAAGGCACCGCCGAGACAGGGAAGTAGAGGGGTTGAAAAGGACAAAGGCAAACAGAGGGCAATTCCGGGCAATGCAGGCGAAAGCAGGGAGGGAAAATGTGGGTGGGCAGAAAATAAATATCAAAGTGAGAAGGAGAGAAGGAAGGGAGGGAGAGGGGGTTTGGGCGGGGGGGGGGGGGGGGGGGGGGGAGGTAAAGGCAGGGATGAAAGCGATGGAGGATGGTGCAAAAAGGGGTGGGGGGGGGGGCGGGAGGGGGTGGGATGGGACGGAAAAGGGGTAAGTTGAAAACGATTTGGGAAAAGCATGGGGGCGTTGGGGAGGCAGTCATGAAAGAAAACGGTGATAAACTGGGGGGGTAGCTGGGGGATGGGCCGAGAATGTGAGGGACGGACCTTGACGTCGCAGAAGGTCTTGGCGGATGTGAAGCGCACTTCAATGGGGAAGAAGACGTCTGGGTTGGTGGCCGGCACCACAAACTCCATCGACCCACTGCCACACACGTGCGCAAAATGGGGGGACCAGGTGGCCAGCAGGTAGGAAACACGTGGGGAACAGGTGGGGAATGGGTCGGGAACAGGTGGGGAACAGGTGGGCAGCGGTTGGGGAACGGGTGGGGGACAGGTGGGGAAGAGATGTGGAATAGGTGGGGAGCAAGTGAGCAACCATCGAGCAATGCAAGGGGTAGCAAGTGAACAAGGGCGAGGAGAGAAACCATGGGTGGAAGGGTGCAACAGCGACACTGTTCATCACCATACATGACCAACTTTCACCAGCGAGCTGACCTCGAGATGTGTGAGCTGTGACTCGGCCTTGATATCAACGTGGTCTGGCTGTGTGAACCTAGCCTCACGACTGCATGTATTCCCCCCCGCATAACATGGGCCCAGATGTTGATTACAGCTGTTTTGAGCTGGGAGGAGGAGCCAAGTCTACCATAACACGACCAATGACCGATAGAAATTGGATGGTGAATCTCACTTGCGGTTGGAGTTGTCAATGAGGTCGATGCACCACTCCAACACGGATCTCCTCGAATCATATCTGCATGCAGGCACACAAGCAGCATTGGAAAGACAAGTGAATCACAGAAGAGGCAAGGCTTCACATCACAGTGCTGCAATCAGAACCACCATGCTGTGGAACCGTTAAAGCTCTGCTGCACCGCATGCGAGCTTGTGGGAAACAAGCAGATGAAAGTCTAGTTCCCTGACCATGGCTCTCCAGCATAAATGCTTTGAAGCGGTGTGATTCTACCCAACTCGAAGGGGGGAAAAGCAAACATTGCCGTCGTACCTGGGCTCGCCATCATAGTCCTTGAGGGTGGGAGCCTCACGCAGGGCAGGCAGCGGGATCTCAACGACCACGTGGCGCAGGTCAAAGGCCTGCGTGGCCTCGTACTCTATGTTCACATACGTGTCCGCACCCGATACCGATGGCCAGCAGTTGACTGTGGAGGTGGGAAGCACGGGAATGGGAGTCACGGGAGGCAGGAGAGGTTAATCTGAGCGCTTAGAGAAAAGACTGTGTGGTATAGTACTCCAAGTTTTACATAAGCGTCCGTCCGTGACACTGATGGTTGGGAGTTGATTGCAGGGACGAGAGCCACGGTTCAAAGTGAAGAATACGGAAACAAGAGGAAATTAAACGGTTGCAGGCCGAGGCATAAGCAAGGGTAGAGTACAGTGACCTGAGAGGCTTAATACTAAATGGTTGCGTGTGTTTTCACGCCACATCTTACAACCAGCAGGTGGCAGTTAAAACAAAAACCGTGTAGACTAGGGGGACGAATGACGTATGCGAGGACCGGGTACAAGGTGGCATAATGCACAAATATGTGCCACGAGGAAGGGCAGAATAGACTGCACTCACACACATGTGCGTCCCACACACCCACGACCAGAACGCTTGTGCGGAGGAGGGATGAGGCAGGCCATGATATGGGGCTAAGGCGGGACCAATGGGAGAATGATTGGGACACGGCCCCGGAAAAACGTTGTAGCAACAAAAAATAATAGTTATTCGTGACAAGCGAAAATCAGAGGCAGAGGAAAACGCAGTGAGGAAGGAAGGCGAGCAAGGCGTACTGCTGATGGGGACGACGGTCTCATCCTTGGACTGCATCCGCCACTTGAGGATGCCGAGCGGGCTGCCGGTGGGGAAGGGTCGGTTGGGGTCCTTGAGGCCCAGGATGTTCTGGCTGCCGTACAGCGCCTTGTCAATGTTCGGATGCGTCTTGAATTGGAAGCTCTTGTCATGCCCGCCCTCGATCTGCATCAGGGTCAACCAGGAACGAAGGAAAGCAGCAGATAGGTGTCACACGAGCAGAGCCGCACAGACGCTATGTTCCACAGCTTACAGCTCTCCAAAGACAAGCCAAAAGCGTTTACACACAAGCGCTCCACACACGAATGACAACCGCTCCGCACAAAAGTCACAACCGCTCCACACACAAGTCACAAGAGCTCCACACAAGAACTTCACACACAAATGACAACCGCTCTACACACCAGGCCCCACCGCTCCACACCACACGCAAGTCACAAACTCCCCACACATACCTGCCCAGACCACTGCCACACTCCTGCCCAGTGCCCACCCCGCCCCCACGCACCTGGATGCGGATGAAGGCGTCCTCTTCCTTGAGCACGGTGAGCGCCATGGTGCCCTGCACCTCCATGTTCTCCAGCCCGCCGTCGCGCTTCCACACCACCACCACCTTCTCCTCCACCAGGATCGTGATCGGGTCCGTCGCCACGAACGCCGCTGGCCCGCCAGCACCACCCGCGGCACCCGCACCGGCGGCGGCGGACAGGAGCGAGGCGTCCTCGACGATGTTCTCGCCCTCCGCCTTGAGGGACTCGAGGAACTGGTTCGTCTTGGTGGACTTGCCCAGCTTCATGCCCATGCCCTTGGACGGCGCCGCCATACTCCCGCCCGCCCGCCCTGTGGGGTGGTGGAGAGGGAAGGGAAAGGGTGCGGCTTGATGGAGGGATCTGACTGCGGACGGCGGGGGATGTGTGCTGAGGGAATGGCAGCGGAATGGCGGGCGCCACGTCATCGTTGCGAGAATTTGGGTGTCAGTGGTTCGAGCGTCCTCACTCTCGCATGATACCAGGGTCGAACATCACCCAGATCGCATGTGCATCGTTCGTGCGCCGGTTCGAATATTAGGGTTGTGCCCGCCTAGTTCACAAGCACATAATAGGATCGAGTCCCGCCGACGCGCGTATCATGGTCGACTATCGTCTGGGCACGTATCAAGGTCGAGTTGCACCTGGGCACATACCAGGTTCGAATATCGCTTACCCACGTATCAGGCTCGATAACGACCACCCACGTATCAGGTTCGAATATCGCCCATCTACGTGCCAGGTTCGATTATCCCCTACCCGCGTACCAGGTTCGAGCACGTTCAAGGTTCGAGTACCACCTAAGCACGCACCAGGTTCTGGACCAGATGAAACGGGAGCTCCGAAGCCTCCACCGCCTCCCATCCTGCCCATCTCCGGGAAGCCATTGTTTATGGACATCTGACCTCCCCCGCCAGGACCCATGCTCGACAGCCCGCCTGAAATCCCCCCACGATCGACTCTCTTGTCCGCCTGCCAAAGGCGAGTCGGAAAAACGAGATTAACGAAGAGGGAGACGCAAAGACCGCCGATCGCAGGCAATCGACGGTGGTAAAGCATGACAAGCAGCACGGAGGCAGGAATCGTGTTTAGAGATAATAAGCAGATGAGATAGTAAGCATATGTGGTTTGATGTACCCGGAGCTTCTCGATCTCCTGCGCCTTCTTCTTCATGAGGTCCTTGGTCTCGTTGATCTTGCTCAGCATGTCCGCCTTGTACTGCTTCTCCGCCGTGCTCTCCATCTCCGTGAACTGCTTCACCTGCGCTATAGTCACGTTCTCCTTGTGGCCCAGCGAAATGACCTCGTCGAACGCGAATATGAGCTCAAAGGCCATGTGACACACGGATTCCTCGTCCAATCCTGGACAGTATTCAGGTACCTGGAAGGTCAGACAGGTATTGATAAAGGGGACATCTGTTAGGTGCTACACAGCCAGGAGACAGGGATTCACGGATCAGATCAGGTAATGACACCGGAAACTCGGATATTTATTTGTTAGGGCATGAAGCAAAGAGCTTGACTGAATAGGGATTGACTTACGAGCTTCGATAGTAGGCGAAGAGTCTCGAGATCTTCTAAGATGTTGCTTTGCTTGTTCGTGACGAGCAGTAAATAGAGACCTTCGAGTGATTGATACACATATCGCACATTCTCGGTCTCGACGAACGTGTGCTGCTTCCCGCTTCCAATGAGTTTAGGGAAAGCTGCAAGCAACCCTTCGATGCGAATCCGAGCCATGTCTACGAATTGTCGAGCCACCAATGCTGCAGCAACCAACAAAATACCACGCGTATGAGAAAATGACGCTCGCTAATAACATTCTAAAAAATAGATTTAGCTGGGTAGCTAATCGCTAGTGGATTTAAGGACGACAGGTAAATTGATAGTAACATGCCTTTTCCCGTCTTGCTGATGATCGCAGCTGACAGGACCACCTGCACGAGAGAAACTAAGTCGTCAGTCTAAAGCGAGTGGAACAAGAAACTGCATGAACGCGTAAATTGCGCCGAATCTAACGCACCATCTTGCCAAGACCAGAGATGTGAGGTCAGACGTCGAGAATCAGGATCCAAACCCTTCCTAACCAAATCACACAACTAACGCAACGGAAACCGGTCAAATCCTGAATGACGCTTCGCCCTAATTAGAAACACGGAAATCGAAGACAAATCTACGCATTCCGCGATGCTAACACAAGCATAACTAGATCAAGGATGATCCCTAGTTGTGCAGCTGATCCCGGCGAATCAGTGGGCAGGAAGACTAGGCACCGTATTCACGGACGCAGAGACAGCACTACACCAAACACGCGCAGATCTGCGATGCTCCTTCACATTCCCTCCAGCAGGAAGGTCAGGCAAACCAGTGGGAAGCGGGAAGGCTGGCTGTTGCTTTGTCGCTCGCAAGAATCTGGCTTGGCGGATGAAATCGAGGCTCGCGACACACCGAGGGGGTGGTAACACGAATTCGGTGAAACATGAGTGACTATGTTCCGAGTAACCTCATTTAAACAAATACTGGAAAGTACAATACAGCTTGATGTTGTTGAGCTAGCACCCATTTGCTCATTTGCTGGCTCATGATAACTACAAAAATCAGGTTTCTCACCGATTGTAGTATCATCGCACAAGGGACATGAAGGCACAATGAATCCCATTGCCCATATGCATGCTCATTGTAAGAGTGGCACAAACTAAACTACATACGATTCCCACCCCTTCCCATCTTGCCTTTGCCCCCTCTACCACCCCCTCTCCCACTGGAACTCGGCCTTCCTCCACCCCTTCCCCTCCCTCCACCCCTCCCTCCACTCCCTCCCCTCCCTCTGCTCCCTCCCCTTCCTCCCCTCCCTCCACTCCCACCCCTTCCTCCACCCCCTCCTCTCCCCCCACCCCCTCCTCTCCCTCCACCTCCTCCTCTCCCTCCACTCCCTCCTCTCCCTCCACCTCCTCTAGCGATGGCACCCTGGCGCATCTTCCTCACCTCATCCACGCTGCGCAGCTCGTCCCTCACTCGCCCGCCCGCCCCTCCTCTGCCCGACATGCCTGCAGCACGGTACGGTGGGGTGACAGGGGGTGACATGGGGTGACAGGGTGGTTGGAGGGTGAGACAGAGGATGACAAGGGGTGACAGGGGGTGACATGGGGTGACAGAGTGTGACAGGGTGTGACAGGGTGTGACAGGGGGTGACAGGGGGTGACAGGGGGTGACAGGGGGTGACAGGGGATGACAGGGGGTGACAGGGGGTGACAGGGTGTGACAGGGTGTGACAGCGAGTGACAGCGAGTGACAGCGAGTGACAGCGAGTGACAGTGAGTGACAGGGGATGACAGGGTGTGACAGGGTGTGACAGGGTAAGGAAGGATCCTTGGTTTCGAACATCAATGGGTGACAAGGGGTGAGACAGGATGACAGGGTTAAGAACGTCTGTGTTTCAAACCCCACCACCCACCCCCCCCATCCGCCCTTCCCCTCATTAACTCCCACTCATGCCACAATCAACTCCCACCCATGCCACTCACCTCCTCGGCCTCCTCTCCCCCCTCTCCCTCCTCCCCTCCCCCTGGAGAAGCCGCCAGCACCGTCAGCATCCTCGCCGGCGTCCAATCCAGCGCTGCCACGTGGCCCTCTGCCGCCCACGCGCATGTGCGTCTTCTCCTTCCACCGCTTGTAGATGCCCTTGCTGCCCGCGCTGGTCTTGGTGCCACTCTCCGTGCGCACCTGCCAAGGGCATCAGAAGAATATATTCATGGGGTTGGAATGGACATGAGCTTGTATAACTCATAGAGACGAGACGAGAGCAGAGAGCCTGTCGATCCTGGTTTGAAGAGCGAGTAACACTCGCACCACAATGAAGAAGAGTGCCCACGGCAATGGAAAGCAGTTTGCAGTCACCCTTGCCACACCAGCTCACCTTGCGTCGCCTACTATGCACTCACCTTGCCCGATGGCCCTAGTGTCTCCCCGGGGTTCAGCTTGACGTACTTCTTGCTCTTCTGCTCACATGCGAGCGGTGGAAAGGGGTGGAGGGGGGTGGGAGGCGTGGAAAGGGGCATTGTTGAAGGTGATTGTCCTTTTTCTAAATGTAGTTCTTGTGTTGCTACTCCAATGCAAGGGGTAAGGATAGAATGTCGCATGAGGGTAGGCATGGTGGGGAAAGGAGGAGAGGGGAGGGTAGGGGAAGGAGGTTCACAGGAGTATTGAGTGGCATTTAGGTTGATGGTGCACTGAGGTTTCTCGCCTGTTCACACACACTTGTGCTAGTGGTGGGGGAGGGAAGCGGGATGCTCAAAGAAGTTGTGAGGCACATCATTGGTCAATGGCCAGTGGTACAATGAAGCTTACAAAAATGCACACTGCATATAATTAGAGGAACGTTGTACACTTGCCCAAAGGTTCACTCCACCTATCAGGAATATAAAATCTTGTGAGTTATCCGTACTGTACTCAAAAAAAAAAAAAAAAAAAAAAAAAACTGTACCTTATCCCAGTGGAACACTGTACCTTATCCCAGTGGAACACTGTACCTTATCCCAGTGGAACACTGTACCTTATCCCAGTGGAACACTGTACCTTATCCCAGTGGAACACTGTACCTTATCCCAGTGGAACACTGTACCTTATCCCAGTGGAACACTGTACCTTATCCCAGTGGAACACTGTACCTTATCCCAGTGGAACACTGTACCTTATCCCAATGGAACACTGTACATTATCCCAGTGGAACACTGTACCTTATCCCAGTGGAACACTGATTTCCTCTTCTGCGCCCCTTCGCCATCATCAGGAGCCAGATCCAGCACCTCTGCCTCAAACCTGCAGGGGAGAGGGGAGTGGGGAGGGGGAGGGAGAGAAGGACACAGGAGGAAGAGAAATTGTGGTTGCGAACTATCAGGAGGAGGACGAAGAAAGAGGGGGGGAGGGGGGAAAGGGAGCATTGAGTGAAAGGGATCATTGTTTTATATAAAAACACATGGTAGGTGCTTGAGAGGGTGGCAGGTGCTTGAGAGGGTGGCAGGGACGTGAGAGGCAACGGCAGGCAGAGGCATGAGAGGGGACAGCAGGGGAATTGTAAGAAGTATGTTCACAGAACTTTCAAAGTGAAACCGCCGGCTCAAAACGTCTGCGCTAAATAAGATGAGGTGTGGTGAGGTGAGGAGAGGTAAGGTGAGGTGGGGTGAGGTGAGGTGAGGTGAGGTGAGGTGAGGTGAGGTGAGGTGAGGTGAGGCATACTTTTGCACTTCAGCTGAGAACTCGTTCTTGGGCCGCCCGTTGACTGAAAGACCGCTCTCCCAATGCTGGACGGTGGGGATGCAGAATAAATAAAAGGAGAGCATGTGTAAGATCCTTCACAAAGAAAAAAAAATAAACGGAAAAAAACAACAACAACAACAACAACAACAGGAAAGACCTATCACTTAACCATTCAATCATTCAATGTCTGTGCAATTTAGCATCTTACCCTGTTGGGTGGGATACTGTTGATAAAGAACTGGTCATCCTTGAAGGTGGTTGGCTTCTCCCTCTTCGTCCCCCTCCCCTGCCCGCCCCCCCCTCCGCCCTCCCCCTCCTTCCTCTTCCTTTTCCCCCCACCCGCCTCCCCCTCTTCATCACTATCACCATCCATCTCCGTCACCACTTCATCCTCCTCCCCTCCCTCTTCCCCTTCATCCTCTCCCTCGTCTCCCTCCAAAACACCATCAAATTCATCATCCTCCCCTTCCTCGTCCTCCTCTCCCTCCTCTCCCTCCTCTCCCTCCTCACCCTCATCTCCCTCATCTCCCTCCTCTCCCTCATCTCCCTCCTCCCCCTCCTCCACCTCTCCACCCACATCCTCATCCTCCTCCCCATCGTCCCCCAGCCCATGGCCCCACACCTCGCGGCCCTCCGCCACGAGCTTGTCTCGCCGCTTGCTGATGGCCGTCTGATGCGCCTCCCTCTTTGCCCGCATCACATCCAATCCCGCCGCTATGGGGCCCTGGGGTGACGGAGGGAGGGGAGGGCACGAGGAGGAGACGGAGCGGGAAGCATGACAGATGGGGAGGGGGAAACAGAAGAGGGGGGTGGTATTGCTGATGGCCCTCTGATTCGCCTCCCTCTTGGCTCGCATCACATCCAATCCCGCTGCTATGGGAAGGGAAGATGGGGAAAGCAGGTTGGGAAGAAAAAGGGCTTGCAAGACCAATGCGCCAGGGAAACACGAGAGGAGAAGGAAAGGAAGAAAAAAAAACTAAGGTCTCTCTCCTCTCTCCACTCTCCTCACTCTCCTCTCTCCACTCTCCTCACTCTCCATTCTCCACTCTCCTCACTCTCCACTCTCCCCTCGTGTCTCCTCTCCCCTCTTCTCTCCTCTACTCCCTCCTCTCAAATCCCCTCTGTCCTCTCCTCTCCGCCACTGACCTCTCCTCTGCTCTCTCCTCCCCTATCTCATATGCTCTCTCCTCCCCTATCTCATATGCTCTCTCCTCCCCTATCTCATATGCTCTCTCCTCCCCTATCTCATATGCTCTCTCATTGCCGCTCTCTTAAATCGGTTCGCATCTCTTCCCACCGCAACGCACCACTTTCTTCTTCGCTGTGGCAGCTTCTGCCTCGAGCTCTAGCACTGTCTGCTTCGGCCTGCATTCATGCACATGCACACACGCATACGCACACACACAATCACAAGCACACACAGCCCCACACACAGACTCACACATGCACTCACACGTGCACACACACACGCACGCACACACACACACACACGCACGCACACACGCACGCACACAAGCGCACACCCACAACCACACACACACATACACACACATGCACACATGCACACATATGCACACACATGCACACACACGCACCCACACACACGCACCCACACACACGCACCCACACACACGCACCCACAAGCATGCAGGCATCCAATCGTTGTACGTGAAGAGGGGCAGAAGGAAGGGCAGAAGGGGGCAGAAAAACAGTGAAGGTGATGCCAAGATCTAACGGCGCCCTGCAACTCGAAACCTTTAGATCCCCCCTCCCCAGTTCCCATGCTCATCCCTCTTTCTACTAAACCGTTTCTCCCGCTCCACTCCACCCACCACCCCGAACATGTCCCCCACCGCATCCCACCGTCCCTAACCGCACCCCATCGCCCCCCTCACCTGAACTTCTTCAGGTGCTCAGCAAAAGCAGCAACAGCTGCCTCCCGTCCATCCACGCGCTCCCTCAGCAGCAGATGCACCCAGGAACACCCAGGGGTACCCGCAGATCACCATTTCCCTCCCCCCACCGCCCCCCACCGCCCCTTACTGCCCCTTACTGCCCCCCGCCGTCCCCCTTACCTGAACTTTTTAAGGTGCTCGGCAAAAGCAGCAGCAGCTGACTCCAGCCAACCCACGCGCTCGCTCCCCCAGCATCATGCACGCCCTCCCTCCCTCCCGGCCAGCACCTTGCTGCACTTCACTGAAACTCACGTCCGCTCGTCAACACACACCACACCCCATCCATTCTCTTCCAGCAAGCACGGCCCACCCGCCCCTTCACCCACCAGTCCCCCCCTCCCCTCGCCCCACCACCCCCAATGTCCCCAACGCCCCGCATCTCCCCCCTCACCTGAACTTCTTAAGGTGCTCGGCAAAGGCAGCAGCAGCTGACTCCAGCCCGCCCAAGCGCTCCCTCAGCAGCAGGTGCACGCCCTCCCTCCCCGCCATCGCCTTGCTCCGCTTCGCACTCTCATTCGAAGCAGCCGGCCGTGTTCGCAGGTACAGCTTCATGGCCTTCCCAGCCACCTTCTGCAGCATACCCACAGCCACACTTGAACTCTCCAACTCCCTCAACCTCTCCAAATAACGGTCCAGCTCGGTTTGAATGTATCTTCCATAGACTGTTTCGCTCCGCTCCTGCGCTTCCTTTGCGGCCAATAGGCTCGCGCCACCTGTCGCCTCGATCTCGGAATCTAGCGGCGCCGGGCGGATGGGTTTGGAGAGGAAAAGGTGCAGGTCGAGCACGAAGGGCAGCTCTTCTGCCGTGAAAAAAGAATACGCGGTGCCCGAACGGCCAGCGCGTGCTGCACGGCCTGCCCGATGCACGAAAAGTTTCGGCTTGGGCGGGAAGTCGAAATTTATGACGTTGTCGAGAAGAGGGATGTCGATGCCTCGGGCAGCAACGTCGGTCACGATGAGGAGAGATGTTCTGCCTGCCCGGAACTTGGCGATGTGGATTTTTCGGGCAGTTTGGTCCATGGCACCGTAAACCACCGAAGATGGTAACCGTTCGGATTGTAACACTTCGTGTAACAGCTCGGCATGATGCTTTGTTGCAACGAATATAATCGTCTGCTTCCCATTGCCCCTCCCAGCAAACCCCCTCCTTCTCCCTTCCCTTTCTCTTGCTTCATCCTCCCTTTCTTCTCCTAATTCTTCCTCATCCTCGCCCTCTTCCCTTATTTCCCTTTCCCTCCCCCCCCCACCTGCCGCTGTCCCCACCTGAATAACCTCCTGAAGCAAATGCAGCAGGGCGGCCATTTTCTCATGCGGTCTCACCGTGAAAAAACAAAGGGCCAGGTCCGGGCTCAGCTTCGTCTCTGTGTCCAATCGGATCAGCTGCGGCTCCCGCAAACCTGCCCGGGCGAACTCCGCGAGCATCTTGGGCAGCGTGGCCGAAAAAAGCAGCGTCTGGCGCGACTCGGGCATGCCGCGCAAAATTTCCTTCAGCTGAATTGCAAACCCCATCTCAAAAAGCCGGTCAGCCTCATCAAAAACAACATACTCCACGGATTTCAGGCTCATACCCTCCACCTCAGCAAGATGGTGCATGAGCCTGCCAGGTGTCGCGACGAGAATGTCCGGGTTGCGCGAGAGCGCCTCGAACTGCCCCTCCATGCTGTCTCCTCCCACCAGCACGGCTGCTCGCAGGTCGGTGAATTTCCCCAGCTCCTTGGTGAACTTGAACGTCTGTAGCGCCAGCTCTCTGGATGGGTGGTTGGAAAAAGTGATGATAGAGCAGGTACGGACAAGCAGGGATGAGCACGCGGCAAGAAATGCAGGCTGCCACGATCCCAGTGCCTCCGGATGATGTTTCCCCCATGAGTACAGCGGAGGTCGGTGCATTTCCCCAGCTCCTTGGTGAACTTGAACGTCTGTAGCGCCAGCTCTCTGGATGGGTGGTTGGGGAAGGTGGAGAAACAACAGGGGGGGACAAGCAGGGTTGACCACGCCATGCTCTCAGCTCAGCGCCTCTCGCTCGGAGGTCGGTGATTATGCCGAGCTCCTTGGTGACCTTGAACGTCTGTAGGGCCAGCTCTCAGGGTCAATGGGTGGGTGGGTGGGTGTGTGGGTGGGTGTGTGGGTGGGTGGGTGGTTGGGGTAGATGGAGGCAAGCAGGCGATGAGCAGGAAGAGAAAGCAGTCAACCATACTGCCACCTGGTATCAGAACCAACCAACCGACCTCCTTGTCGAACCTGAACGTCTGTAGGTCCAGCTCTCTGGGTGGTGCGTGGGTGGGTGGGTGGGTGGGGCACGTGAGGAGGCAGGGAGGGAAGGATGAGCAGGAAGGAATGAGCGCCCAAGGCATGAAAAGAAGGCGTTCCTCCGCATTGCCTGCTCCTCAAATTGCCGTCTAGTCTCCTCCTACAGGCCCTGCCGTGCCGTCCGGGGACGTGTGAGTCTGTCGAGCACCCTGTTGACCGTGACCGCCTGCTCTCTAGGTGGGTGGTGGCGGAAATGGGAAAATCAGGGGGCGAAACCAGCAAGGCAAATTTAGCAGGGTAAGGAAGGAACGAGACTAGCCTTCAAGTTTCGTTGTTGGCCGTTTTTGCTAAGCCAGAATATCACTTCCACACGCGCTAATTAAAAAACCTCCGAAAAATCTGGTGGTAGTTGAACCCTGAACCCTTCAACACTCCACCCGTCAACCCCTGAACCCTAGCATCTGTTACTCGCTAATCCATGGACCATTCAACTCAGTACGAGCTGACAGCGGCGGAAAAGGCTAAACCCGGGACCCCTTGGTCTATACATCGCTAGCACCTCAACCCTTCATGCAGTGAGAGGGTTGAGGCGGCATGGTTAGCATCTCCACGTACTAGGAAGCGGCGGTAATATATTCTCTTAACTCCCCATTAAACTCAATTCGTATCCTCGCATTGAGCCCCCTTACGAAACGGTTCGAAAGACATCATAACGGTTCCACCAACGCCAATCCGCTCCCCACTCCCGCCCCCTCCTTCACCACCGTCGCACCTCGTAGGAGAGAGAATCACGGCGCGAATCCCGCCCGTGTTCGAGTGCGCCTTGAGCCGCTCGATCATGGGAATGAGAAACGCCGCCGTTTTGCCGGACCCAGTGCGCGCCATGGCGACCACGTCCTGCCCCGCCAGCACCATCGGCAGGGTTCGCCGCTGGATTGGCGTCGGCACCTGGTAGCCCTTGCGCCGCACCGCGCGGTACACTGCGGCGCTCAAGCCCATGCTCTCGAATCCAAACGATTTCGATTTCTTCTTTTTCGCGCCTTGCCCCGACACAGAAGCGAAGGCCATTCCGACGTCTTCTGACGGAAACATGCTTTCCGTTTCGCCCCCGTCCATCTGTTCTTAGCGCTCCAAGAAACAAACCCTCGACCTGGAAATGGTAATGGAAAGCAAATGGCGCTGAGAAGTGGTTTCAACCTGGTCGAGGGAAGAGGTTTGACAGTTTGGGTTTTGCACTGTCCCACAAGTGCAGGTTAGTGCTTGTTCCGTCTCCACCTTTTCCCAGTTTCCTTCGTTTATGCTAGTCCAAGGTCTGACTTTTCATGCAGAAAATAATATTTGTACTAAAGCGAAATGAAAACCTTCTATATTATACGAATAGATACCATAGCAAGATTGATTGGTGTACCTAACCCGTTAGTTTGTTAATTATATCACTAAGCCTCTCAGCGAGTTGTAGCTGAAAGAATTATTCCTCTCAAACGAGTCACATACTAGCGAATCTGAGATTTCACAAACCCACTGCCTGCTATCATCCCTCCCTCGATTTCCCTCTTGCTCGTCCTGCTTCCAGTCCTAGCAGTCCCAGCAGCAGCAGTTTTAGGATTGAACACGCGCCAGATGCGGAGAGACTCATCAGCCGAGAGGGAAGCTATGATGTCACCTTCAGGAGCCTGCCATGGAATGTAAACGAGGCACATTAGCGCATGTTAAGGGGGGCGCTTAACATATGCATGAGTGCTCAGCGATCGCTTACCTGCGCAGTTGACACCACACGGTTCGCATGCCCTTTAAGTCGGGCCAGCGGTACGAGAGACGGATACTTCCAAACGATCAGCTGGTTCGTGTTCGCTCCCAGATAGCCATGCGCGCTTACGATCTCACGATCCTTCTTGCTCCAGTGCAAGCCCGTGACCTGAAAAAACACAACGAAGGATTAGTGACTGAATTTATTCTCGAAAGTCAGAATAACAAACCGGCCAGAGATTGATCGCCAGTGTATTGCCATGTCAACCGTGCGATTGTTTACCTGCGACTCTGCGTCGACATGTTTCTCGCACGCGCCGGTCTGCGTGTTCCAAAACCGGATGGTGCAGTCGTTCGCACCGCCTCCCGTCGCCAGCAGGTGCGTTCGGAAAGGACACCACGCGAGAGCCTTCACCGCTCCGCGGTGATCCGCGAATCGATGAAGCAAAGGCACATGGGATCCCGTGGCACTAGTTCCAGCAGAGCTTGGGTTCGTCCTCCGACGACCTTCTCCATCGCGGCGGCCAGCAGCGTCTGGTGCGGTGGAAGACGACATGAGAGCTGTGTCCCAGATGTGCACAAGGTTGTCGTCTCCACCGCTGGCGAGCTGGCGTCCAGACGGAGCCCACTTCAGTCCGCATACCCCCTCAGGATGGGCCATGAGACGCGAGACGATGTGCTCCCGGGAGCGAACTGTTTAAGAAAGATAGGACAAATGTTAAGCTGGAACGTACGCTTCAAAAGAGCTGCTATTCACAAAAGTGAGTATTATTCCGGTTTGAGTGGACGTGCTGGTTGTGTGTTGCACAGGAAGCCATGGCTTACCATCATGGTTTATGATTGTTCCAGCATTATCGCCGGTTGATAAGAGTGTCTTGTACCAGTCCAATGCACAAATAGGTCCCGAATGCCCCTTGAAGGTACGGACCTGCAGTTTATCGCCAAGCAGCAATCAGTCAGGATTCTCAAGAACGTGTACCTCAACAGATTTACTGACTCGGGAGCGTTTGCAGCAGATACTGGCCTGTTTAGGGATGGAGACGTTCCAGACTTGGACTTCGGAATTGCTGACCCCTATCGCCAAGTGTACGCCATCAGGAGCCCAAGAGACTCCTGTCACATAGGGAGATTCCGGTAGTTCATCCTCCGTCTCAACAGTCATGAGCTCCATAGATTCATCCTTGCCATTCCAGATAAACACTGAGGTTCCGATCGCTACAGCAACCAAGTTGGAGATGCTCCAATCTATCAATTGGAGGTAGAAGTTGTTCACCACCCCAGGCGCGTCCAGCGTCTTCTCTGCCACCTGAGAAAAAGAACAGTTTTAGAGTCAGTAATGTTTCACGCATAATATATCTACCGCTCTACATGTCATCACAATAGTCACCTGAGGTATCACGCGAGGAGGGGGCTGACATCCTGAAACGTCACTGCCGCTGGAGATTTTGGTGGAGCTGTCAATACCATTGTTTGACTCAGCAGGTGCCTTCACTTTGAATGATAACACTCTTGGCTTCCTTGCCGAATTTCCTTCTCCGTCTTCTATACATCTCGACATCAAACCTTCAAGTCGCTTTCGATAATTCTCCTGGTTATGAGAACACACATTGAGAAGTTGTTAGTTCATATAAGTCAAGCGTGTCATCAATCATAACAGAATCACTTACAGAGCCTGGGGTAATGAGCTTCGTAGACTCTCTCTTGTCGAAACCACCACGAATTGCGAACGCTGAGACGTCCATATTCATGTAGCTGCGGCTTGGAATGAAACGGTCGCCCTGCAGCCAAACATTGGATTCGATCAGTTGTATGGAACTTTGGGAGGAATACAAGAAACGTTCGGAACGTGACTCCAAACCATACCTCTGTCGACTTCGGGGTCGCGAATGGTGTTTTGGGCGTTATCCCAACCTTCTTATGTGCTTTCTTCACCGAAGGTACTGGCGTTGCTGTAGGTTTTGCCTTGAGGTGGCTGCATCCCGCCTTGACCAAGGATTCCGGCGCTTTCTGACCATATTTGCTGCTGGGTCCCGATCTGCATAACGAAGCTGGACCTCCTGTCTTTCCGGCGGTCTTCAACTTGCTCTTCAATAGAAATGGACTCCTTGTCGGCGTATCCATAATCGTGCTCATCGCTATGGCTAAGTCCATTTCAGTACGGCAGAGAAGCTAAGCGAGTGCACGTGAGCGTTGCTTGTACAAGCAAGCTTATTGACAACCTGTGAGATTTTGATGTCCACTGATACTACCAACTGGAACGACGTTCGAGTGTGACTGATGCTTGTAGAGAGCAGTTTCATCGTTGGAGTCAATCGAGCAGCTTGAACCTCCTCAGCCAGGCTAAGCAGCCGCTCACTGGGTCTCTGGTATTGCATGGTGTCCAGGCGCTGACAATGGCGGCGGAAAGTTATCCTCCCGCCTTCACGAGGAGTTGCTCTGGAAATGCCTTCCCTGAAGTAAGCGCCGCGTTCATGTGGTAAGGGTGTACGCGATATTAGGTGCTTTGATCGCAAATATAAAAGGCATTTTAGCAAATAATGGTATTTGTTGACTCATCCCTGATTTCGCAGTCAGTGTTGTCGTCAGGTTTTGGTGTCACGGTTCAGTTGCTTGAGTATCAAAAAATTCAAACACGGTGCCGTCCATCATCCAACGAATGGGGCTTTGAGTATTTGTGACACAATCTGCCCGGCTTGGTCACGGCAGATAAACCAAACCAACAAAGTGACGGCACGTGACGGCCGGTGTCAGAATGCGCCCCTCCGCTTCGCACCGACCAGCCGTGCTGAGGTAGGCAGCAACTCAAATCGTCGGACCGTTTGGAAAACCTGACGAGCGCCGCATACACCCATTCGAGCAAGGGTGAGCCTCCATACAAGTTGTACTTCAAGTAAACCGAACATGTACTGGACCTTACGACCGGACCAGCCCTGAGTTCCAGGAATGCCTCGGTGTTCTCCTTGCTGCGCCAACAACCAATCACACGCAGCAGCGGCCTCCCACCTGTGCATCAATCTCCCAAACCCAAGGGACGAACCACCTCCCTCCACATCCTTGAGGATCCTGTCCTGGCCCGAATCCTGATCGTGGAATTCATTTTTTGTGAGTCACATTTCCATCAGAGCTTCAGTTTTTCAAGACAGGTGATTACGAGGAGCATTCAGCAGCTCCTGATTCGGCTTGCTCCGTGACATTCACGAGAGGAGCACGCAACTGACGTTATTGCGTGGGACGCTGGGAGAAGCAGCCCTCACGTATCCTACACAAGATACGATTGTTGATTAGTGTAATCCCAGATCGTCTCCATCACACATCCATGGCGGAGGCGAAGGCTGGCAGCGGTTTTTACGAAGACATTGTTGACGGAGATGTGTATAAGTACTTTTCGCACGGCGAATGGAAGTCGTCGGCTTCAGGCAAAACAGTCAACATTATAAATCCCTGTACCCGTACCGTAGTATACAGAGTACAAGGTGAGCTGCTACTCTGCCAGTTTCACGACGGATGCGACGGGTCGACGATTCGACTTCAGTAGCTTCTCTACCTGCATTCGATTCCAGACCAGCAATGCCGTTTGCGTAGTATCGTGGATAGCGATCAGCTACGCGTGAAGTTCCTAACACCACCACCCCCGCCCTCGCTTTTGTTCACGCAGCGTGCATGCAAGAGGAGGTGGACGGCGTGTTCGAGAGCGCCAAGGTCGCGCAGAAGAAATGGGCCAAGACGCCGCTGTGGAAGCGCGCCGAGCTGCTGCACAAGGCCGCTCACATCCTTCGCGAACACAAGGAACCCATCGCCGACTGCCTCGTTAAAGAAGTCGCCAAGGCTAGAAAGGATTCCATTACCGAGGTAAGAAATAGATACACTCGGCAGCCGAGATGACGCATGGATGCACGGCGTTACCGGTTGAAGGCTCACCGAGTAAGGTCTCCGTCACCGAGTAAGACTGAGCAACACTTCAACTGCATCACCATTCCGATGAGACGTTTATATACACTCCGATTGTTGAGTTGGAAACTCATATTACTGGCGAGTGCAGTGATCTCATCGCCGTTTACCTCTTGGAAGAGTTCGCCACGGCGAGAGGGGATCCCGATTACGCAAGACAATGCAAGGATTCGTTTAGGACTTTGTTATCGAAATGACAGCTCGCATAGTTCGCGAATGGAACGATTTCCTCCGCCTCGACGTGCTGATCGTACCAGATCACGCTGGACCTGTCCCCTACTTCACCCCCACCCACTCTACCGCTA